AACCGATACGAATCCCGAAATAAAACATGATTGATCCGTAATGTTCTACGGTACTGAATTTTCGAAATCATTACCAAGTGTACCATAAATCAAACCTCAAATATGCGGCCAAAAGCACTCAAGAAAGCGACCCAAATATGATGTCCAGAGAGAGCCAAACAGTCGCTCACGTCCTCTGACCACGCCAAATCCAAATATGCCGGGCATCGAATTAACACATAAAGAATAATGTATGGTGTTTGTGATTCAGAAATTCCGATAGAGAAGCAACACACAGATACAGTTATANCCTCTGACCACGCCAAATCTAAATATGCCGGGCATCGAATTAACATATAAAGAATAATGTATGGTGTTTTTGATTGAGAAATTCCAATAGAGAAGCAACACAGATACAGTTATATCACCTTGAATCATCATGGGTTTGGAGGGATTTTCAAAAAATCAACATGAAATAAACTTCCAGCACACAACAACTCGGGTCATCGCCCTGGAGGATTACAATACACCTGATATTTATTCGGAGATAGAGTATGCTCCACTGGGTAGCTTTCGTAATGAGCTACTGGAGATGATACACGAATTGGTGCTCGTTCAGCACGTCTCAAAGCCCAACTCCATGGCGGCTAGGTAACTGTCCTAGAACATTATATCTTGTGTTCACCAAAAACCATTAGGCAGAAGTGGCCATGCTAGCATCTTGTGCCAGTACGGCTGTGACAGTCCCTCATCTCGAGTGAAATTTCTTTGACGTGACGGACGCATGAATACTAAATGTCTCCGGACTGAAGCTCAGCCCATAATCTGGTCGAAAACGAACCATGGGGTTGTAGAGTTGTGAGTCTTGATCAGGGATGACCTGCTGACTCTAACCAATAGATTCGCACCCCTGTGTACAGTTTGGCCGAATAAACAAGCCGTGGTTAGGAAGCGGCCCGCGTGGAAGCGACTCTGTGATACAGGAGGGCATCTAAGGCACCTCCAGCACTTGCAAATACGGAAGTCTATCGACTATATCCTCCTGGATGCCAAGAAAGCAAAGAGCTCCCCCAGGGACCATTATGGGTACGGCCATTCTACGGCAGTAGCATGTATTAGATAGAAGGACAGCACCCCCACCGCGACAAACGCAAAAGGTCCACCTCCCTGTGTGAGCACTTTCACAGTGTACACACGAAGGATCTTGGGTCTTGCAACCCATTTACCAGCCAGTAAGATCCACGCTGATGGTGAACATCTTTCTCCTACCGGAAGATGTGGAAAAAACCATGTGCAGTTTGGATAGGGGCAAAGCTGCGGATCCGGATGAAATCCACACGGCTCTGCTTAGGCCTCTAGAAAGGGTACTGGCAGCCCCCTTAGTTCGACTTTTCAATCGATCCATGGCGACCGCCACCTCCTAACAGGACTGGAAAGTAGGTATCGTGCCACCCAACCACAAACGGGGTGATAAAGAACTCGCCACCAACTATAGGTCACTGAGCTTACTCTCCCTGATCCTGAAGGTCTTGGAGAGGATAACCAGGGAACGAAGCGTTCTTCGGTTCTCCGAATGGTCATCGAGCATCTGTTCCTAACTTGCACAAAGCGATGGTGGGAGAGAGGAGTGAGCGAGCGGCGGAAGGCTGAACGTTTAAGGCGTACAGCACGGTCACATGCATGGTTAAACCACTCAGGAAATTTGAATTTGCCGGGTTTGCAAAAGTGCGGAATAGAAAAATGAATTCCTTGAAGAACAACAAGAGAAGGAACAATCGCTCCAGGGATAATCAGCTAGGAAATCACGGAAACCGTCCCAGTTGGCTGAGTTGTAGCGCCAGAATGTCTCGAGGTGGGTGGTGGTTCAGAGTTTGGAAATCTAATGGAGCAGGAAACAATACAGTGATCTGAGCCAAGAGGAGGGAGGGCATCCTTCCCAGTTTTAACATAGATTCCGCCAAGATCTTCGATATCCTGAGACCGCTTCTGAAGCTAGGTCTTTTAGCTTTGTTTCAATCACTGCCACCTCCGATGAAGTAACTTCACTTTAAACGGTGCGTGAGTTCAGTGCTACACCTTCGCTTGCTAAGCATTTTCGCTTCCAGATACTCTCAAGCGTAGTCAGGCTAAACTCCGGCACTTTCAGGGATCAATATACTTTCCCTTGACTAATCGGTTGCTCTTCCTGATTCATACCGGGTGATCGAGAAGAACGAGAGAGAAGGGGACCGGATCGCTGTCGACCTTTTCTGGTGGAGGTGCTAGTGCCTAGGGCAGAGCACAAGTTGGTAGGAGAGATGTAGTCTCCAGGCAGACACAAAGTGGTTCCAAAAACTAACTCGTCTGCAGTACACTTAAGACCCTCTTTGAGATAATTGCGAATACCAAGAAGAACTATGGGTAGAGTTTCATCCCACAGTGGTGGGGAATAAATGGATAGAGCCGCCTTGAGCTGACGGTGGAATCTCTCAACCAAACCTTTTGTCGCGGGGTAAAAGGCGATGTTGCGTACATGACGAGAACCCAGACACGTGGTTAAGGTATTGAATAACGAAGATTCAAACTGGGGGCCGTGGTAATGGTTGCTGGGCGATCGAACTGAGCAACCCACCATTCAACAAAAGCTTTCACAATGATGGCGGCGTCAACATTGGGAATCGGAATTCTTCCGGCAAACGGATAAAACGGTCGATGCAAGTGAGAAGATAGACAAAACTGTCTGAGGGCTCCGGGGGACCTACGATACCCAGATGAACGTGGCCAAACCTAGCATCAGGCGATGCAGAATTACTAATTGCCGTGTAGGTGTGGCGATGCACTTAGGCCTTTTGACAGGCCCCGCAGGTGCGAGCCCACGAGCGCACGTCTTATTTATAGACGGCCGAACGTACCGTTGAATAATTAATTGTAGAGTGGCACTGACTCCAGGGTGTGGTAACCCGTGTAACGTAACCGTTGCAAAGACATATGAACTGGTAATACTGCATATCTATCCCGCTTATCACGACCAGAACCCGATGGCACAACGACGCTGATTTTAAGTCTGATCACTCAGTTACCCAGGCTAGTCCAAGGGGCTGGTTTCACGCTGACAAGAGGGAAGTAACAGCGATACTTAAAATGGTGTAGGAGTTGACACAGCTAGGCTTTTTTAATTTCAAGGGCTTATGATATCGTAGCTACAAGCGAAGGAAGTCACTACAGTTCGTCCAGGGTAAGAAAGGAAAATCAGGACGGATACAAAGTACGCTCTACCATTTGAACCACCATCTTGCGCTGGCAACTCTATAAATTACCTGAACAGTGATCTCCCCAAACGATTAAAAAACAGGGCGAAAATAAATATCATGAGATAAGTAAAAAGGTAATACAAGATGACTTGACGAAAGTCGGAGATACAGCGATGCGCGTGATCGAAAGATACATGTCAATTAAAATTCAAAATAATCGGACGAGGGTGAGAAGATTGGGAGAACAAAGAAAATATTCAAATCAAATTTGTTCGATAGAAACCAGTGAAAAGAAACGAAAATGCAACTAGTGGAGGGCTGCGCGTGGACTGGATGCGAACAAACGGGAAATACGATGATGATGATGAAGCGGAAGATTTTGAGGTTATCTAAAATGGGGAAAAAGTTGCGTACGTGCCCCCGTTTTAACTCGTACGATCCTAGGCGATGAGATTGCGAGAGGAGAATAATAAGAGCGCCCAGAGAAATCAAGAGAAAAGGAACGAAAGAAGCAGTCATATTCACGAGGCGTCTGTACAGAGTGAGCAAGACAACTGAACGGTAAAAATCAAAGAAAAAGCAACAAAAAAACGTATTACAGTGAAAGACGGAACGAGACAGGTGTATTGAAAGTGAATTGTCACTTAGTACAGATCTGGACATCGGGACCAATCTCGAGACCAGTAGTCACCAGTGAATTTCCACTCCTCTTGTTTCGTGGCTTCCGTGTAGCCTAGATGAAACCATACAGGACCGACAATCAATGGAGGAGCAATACTGGATCGGGAACGAGTTGGTTTTGCGCGTGGATGATGGGGCAGCAGTAAACTGGTTTCACTTCCTTTGCTTCGACTGCTCAAGTTATTTGAGGCTAAGCTTTGTTGGGTATTATTGGACAGCCCTCCAGTAGATTGACTAGAGCGGGGTCGTGACTGTTGTGAAACGGTCAGTTTGCGCACATGACGTTGTTTCTCTTCCAATCGCGTTTTTTCTAGCGCAGCGGTGTCTAGATAAAAATAGAAGATCGGGAAGCAGAAATCGAGAAAAAACGGCATACATATTTAGTTGATGATTTGAAAAAGTACACTGTCACCGCATGATCAAACTATATCCTCCGCTACTCTCAATCAAATATGTGAACAGATTGAAATGTTTCCAACGAGTCAAAACCCTGGAGGCTAGTGATCAGATGGCTGTATTAGGGTGGCTAAGATGTGTGCAGTTACAACGCGTGTGAGGAAATCGAAAAACGACTTGATCGGCTTCCCGGTGGCCGAGTTTGTAGNCTTGAGTTCTAATTGTGAGGTACGGGTTCGATCCCTAGTTGGGTCGATTAATTCACGCTGTTGAGACCCAGACAGTTCAAAACAGCTGTCTAGTGCTTTCCAGTTCCATTCCGAATGTTCACCCAGTCAATATGATGGTGAAGAATGAGCTCAGATAATCCCCTGAGTGCGCAGTCCAATGTGCATTGTTCCACAGGAACAAATAAACGAGTACCTTTACCTATGAAGAGCTCTTGAATCGGTCAACCGGGAGACCTCGGTTACCTTTGAAAACCGAACCCCAAAGAAGAGTGGTAACCCTAAACTCTAAGCTATACGTCAGATCAAGAATGGCCGTATGACGAGCTGAACAGCGCATTAGGATGTCATTTCACGCATTTACGAAGTTTGAGAGACTTTTAGTGAATCGAAATAGCTTTGGTATTCACTAGAGCTGAAAGATCGCGTTTATTGGGACACGATAACATGAGTTTTGCTTTACGGTTGTGAAACCTTCAGTCTGCGTACAGAAGATATTTATCGACTAGAAAGCCCACAATATTTACCTATTTGCTTCATATGAGTAATGGAGGATTTAATTCAATTTAAAAGGGGAATTCGTCGTAGATATACTAAATGAAGCGAGAACTGAAAAGTTAGGAGGCGCTGGGCAGTTGCTTCGACCTGGTTGGGTCTGAACTGAATTGTGAATCCATCAACCCAAATGGGATTGAACCCGGGACCTCACAGGCAGAATGCAAGCAAGCTGCACGGTAGCCGAGTGGATAGCATGCTTGCGTTCTTCCCGTGCGGTCCCGGGTTCGATCCCCAGTTGGGTCGATGGATTCGCACTGCTGATCAGATTCAACCTGTCTAGTACTTTCAAGCTATTCATTTCACGCTTCATTTGCTATATACAGGACGAATTCACCTCTGGTGGCATTTGTTTGTCGTAAAACTGGTTTGGTTTGTTGGACGCCCCGGATGCCTCACCCGTAATAGGGTTTTGAGTTCACTAGAGGGAAACGTACTATGATTGATTCCTCTCATCTTAGCATCACCCCTTGGCACAACATGATAAACGTATTTTAGTCAACCACTAAGCAAGAATTTATTTTGATGGCAGTTGTCTGCTACATCCCGGCTTTTATTCAAGTTGATTCCATCCCCATAGAAAATGCGGCATACACCAAAATCTATTGGAACACTCAGAACACCCCCGTTGAACAAAGTCGTAAAACTTCACGTCACTAGGGATAATTTTGGTCAAAATTCTACTACCCGAATACTCCTTGCCGCTAAAACAACCTGTTGGATTTCCTACTGCAAACTTATCTTTGTGTGCCTATCCTCTGGGTGAGGATGAGAAATGTTAATCAAATACCATCAAAGGTGTGAAACACTGGGTTCCTCAAATCCTTATGCTTTGCATCAAAACAAAAAAGAGACACATCACGAGATGTAAACAAATCGTCTATTGCTCTCTATCGCTGAACCCAGGTCCATCAATTGCAAAACACCTCCTGACAAGCAAACACAATTGATCCCGCTTCATCTCTCCAACCATTGTTACGTAACTGAAATGCGAAACTGTTGGCAAATAGTGAGGCCTTGTTGGTCAGATTACATCATTCCGTTTTGCATCCAAAACGTGCTGACGCAATTAGTTCACTCACCGTGGAGTTGATTGTTTGTTTTTATTTTATCAGCCCCCGTCTATCTGTACATCCGTCCGTCCAGTAAGATTTAAAAACCCAATGTGCTTTTTTCTCCTAAGTGAGCGACTGAGAAGGATAAACGAAATTTTAGCATCACGCGAAATATCACAACTATTCAAGTTTCACTGGACGGGAATAATTTCCAGTCCATTTGTGAAAAATTATAAGTGGGAGTGGGAGTTGAACCCACACAAGAACGTTGATCGGCGTGTAGCTTCGTAGCCAAACCGGTAGGGTGTACGGTGTACAAACGTGTAGGCGGTGTCCACGTGTGGGTTCCAGTCTCACTGATGCCTATGATCTTTCAACGCTGGATTACGTGAAGCGATACATAGCGATTTATCGAAAGGGGATCGTCGACAGAAATTTGTGCTGTGACCGACAAATAAAGACAAATTCATCTCTCACCTATATTACCCTGTTCCAATGCACGAATATCCGGTCGAAAACGACTGTCACTGGGTGGTAGAAACGGACCACCAACAGTTGTCATTTTGGTGTGATCAATCGTTCCGTTAATCAACGGGTCCCCCGATTCACGCGATGAAGCTTTCTTAGGCGAACGTTGGTGGAATCGGGCGGAGCGCAAACTGGGTGTGAACTCGTTCAATCCGATTGTGAATTGGGTGAAATTGTAGAAATCTTCCGAATTAATTGGACGTGGTCGAGCAATCCACAACAGGCGCTGATCTGCTAAAGGTAATTCGAATCCATATTCCGGTCCGCAGTTCTCGTCAGCTGGATTTGGATCGATAGGCTGTAAGATGTGATGTGCATAGAGATATAGATTAGAATAGTAGATAGAAGCAGGAAGCCAAGCTGAATTTTGTTGATTCGAACTGGTAAGAACTGAAACAAAACAGCTCTCTCTCTCGAATTCATCCGCCAGTAAAATAGAAACGAGTGCATCAAAAATTAGCCGTTATGCTTTCCATCCCGGGGAACTTCCAGTGCTATGTAAGTTACAAGGTGCCCTTCTGCTGTGGATTTGAAGACATGGGCTAGACTCCTCATATCCCCACCTAAAACCCAGGTGTAATACACCGCGTGACAAAATTTTCCCACCATCCTAGATTGTCACAGTATCTCCACTTCTGAGTGAGCAGTAACAGTTTTTGGATATTCCTACAATGGTCAGGTGAAAATCCCAAGTAGGAATGCCGCGCTTCTTAGCATTCAATTAGAAAATAATTAAAAGAGCATTTAGGTTTTAGCTTCAACGGACGAACGACGAAACCTTACCACACTTTTGGATGTTCACAGAGCGGCCCTCTGAGTTGACTCACGTAACAGAGAGCTGACGTAAGAAAATAGCATGATATTGAATTTCAACCACCTCTTGGTCGCACAATCAAAGTAATTCAAAGCTGCTCAATATAAACTGGAAGAGACTTTCCGATGGTGAAAGAGGGTGATTCAAAGCTCCACTCCATTTCATTTTATAAAAGTAGTAGTTTTGGAAAATGCCCAAAATTCGTACCAAGGTCTTTAAATGAAACGGCCGTTTCAGGCAATACTAACGTACTTTATTATACCTCAAATTTTTTTTACCGTATTTCCTTTTTGATAAAAACAGAGGAATATGAATTTCGTGCTGTGTTTTATTCCATTACCGCATAGATATCCAGAAATCGGTACTTTGGCTCATTGAAACTACTCTTTCCCGTGATGAACTTGAATAGAGAATATAGTAGGTTTACGCTGCACAATTTTGATCCGGACATATTCCGCCGTGTCTCATCAGGTGCATATATATACATATAC